GGAGATTAAAATACTCCCTGAGTCACTTTAGAATTCTACATTTGACGAAACTCAATCAGATAACAAATCTATGAAAATACTCAAAATAAGGTGCTTAGAAAAACACAAATATCGAAATTTTTAAACTTTTCAAATTCTAATTTTATTAAGTTTCTAAATTAACTTTTAAATTTCAATCTCAATATTTGAGATTATTTTCCCCATTTGCTGCATGCTACGCTGCAGTTAGCATAGCCTGACATGAATGCTAGGCTACTTAGCATAGCCTGACATGAATGCTAAGCTAGTTAGCATAGCCAAAAAAGCCTGTGGATACGGTTTCCCTGAAAGTTGTTTCTTTATTAGCAAAATTAGAATCGCATACGTAAGTGATTGGCAGCGCTAAAACCCGCCTCCTGGATCTGATTGGCCGTTTTTTCATAGATTTCTTCAAAGGCAATAAAAACTCAGGAAAGAGGTGGATTTGTTTTTTTCATAGAATCAGGAAAATGTTATGAAAGCAGAAAATGTACGTCAGGTGATCACCACTAGCCTACAAAAATAATCAAAACTTTGACCTCAAACTAAAAATAAATCAAATGCAACATTAACTTCTAAAGTTCCAAGCTTTGGAATTATTTTTCCACCAGAGGCATCGTCAAGATCCTGAAACATCAGGAGTCTGGAAATAGTGCAACCACAGAATAATCTGAATACTTTTATTTCTCTGCCTTCTGGATTTTAAGGAATATGAATTTTGAAAGAAATTTGTAAAATTCTTTTTGTTGTTGGCATTTAATTAAAGGAAGAAAAACTAAAATAATTACAGCTCATTGGGACAACATATGAGGAGCAAATATCTGCTAAAAATGAATCATCAAAGTAAAAAAAGGAAATATTTTAGCTTAAAAAGTTTATTTACTAGGGAAAAAACTCATTTTTAACTTCAGATTCAAATATTTTCAAGTTTTCATCTCAAATTTCGAACTTTTATTTTCTAGAAAATTTTTATGATTAATCTTAAATGAGGTTTTTGGTGGAAATCACTTCCTGTCTATGTAATGTTTCTAATACCCTGTCTCATATAAACGGTCACAGTAATTTTAACAAACTTTGTTAAAATGAAAGTTATATATTATTGTTAAATAACTTACAAATTAACATCCAAAGACAGTTTAGAATTACATTTATTACATGAAGCTTTAAGCACTTTAAGCTTCATAGAACTAACCGATCTGATTAACAGTTCTTAACATGTCTGCAGCTCATAGTAATATTGGTTTATTGGGACACATTTATCATTTGACATGAATACAGGGGAGAGCGCGAACGCAGTCCCCACTACCATAAATTGTGCAGTTGAGATTCTCCATGTGGAGAATTCACAGAGGTCAGATCACCGCAGTGCAATGGCTGATCCTCACCCTGGGCGATCCGCCTACAGGATCATGGAGTCACCCCTGCCAGGTAAGTATGCCCTTTATTCCTCTGACTGAACATTAACAACTTCACACATCTGGTTCTGACTCACGGTGGGAGATTAAAATACTCCCTGAGTCACTTTAGAATTTTACATTTGACAAAACTCAATCAGATAACAAATCTATGAAAATACTCAAAATAAGCTGCTTAGAAAAACTCACAAATATTGAAATTTTTAAACTTTTCAAATTCTAATTTTATTAAGTTTCTAAATTAACTTTTAAATTTCAATCTCAATATTTGAGATTATTTTCTCCATTTGGTGCCTGCTACGCTGAAGCTAGCATAGCCTGACATGAACGCTAAGATAGTTAGCATAGCCTGACATGAATGCTAAGCTAGTTAGCATAGCCACAAAAGCCTGTGGATACGGTTTCCCTGAAAGTTGTTTCTCTATTAGCAAAATTAGCATCGCATACGTAAGTGATTGGCAGCGCTAAAACCCGCCTCCTGGATCTGATTGGCCGTTTTTCATAGATTTCTTCAAAGGCAATAAAAACTCAGGAAAGAGGTGGATTTGTTTTTTTCATAGAATCAGGAAAATGTTATGAAAGCAGAAAATGTACGTCAGGTGATCACCACTAGCCTACAAAAATAATCAAAACTTTGACCTCAAACTAAAAATAAATCAAATGCAACATTAACTTCTAAAGTTCCAAGCTTTGGAATTATTTTTCCACCAGAGGCATCGTCAAGATCCTGAAACATCAGGAGTCTGGAAATAGTGCAACCACAGAATAATCTGAAAATACTTTATTTCTCTGCCTTCTGGATTTTAAGGAATATGAATTTTGATAGAAATTTGTTAAATTCTTTTTGTTGTTGGCGTTTAATTAAAGGAAGAAAAACTAAAATAATTACAGCTCATTGGGACAACATATGAGGAGCAAATATCTGCTAAAAATGAATCATCAAAAGTAAAAAAAGGAAATATTTTAGCTTAAAAAGTTTATTTACTAGGGAAAAAACTCATTTTTAACTTCAGATTCAAATATTTTCAAGTTTTCATCTCAAATTTCGAACTTTTATTTTCTAGAAAATTTTTATGATTAATCTTAAAATGAGGTTTTTGGTGGAAATCACTTCCTGTCTATGTAATGTTTCTAATACCCTGTCTCATATAAACGGTCACAGTAATTTTAACAAACTTTTTTAAAATAAAGTTATATATTACAGTTAAATAACTTACAAATTAACATCCAAAGACAGTTTAGAAATTACATTTATTACATGAAGCTTTAAGCACTTTAAGCTTCATAGAACTAACCGATCTGATGAACAGTTCTTAACATGTCTGCAGCTCATAGTAATATTGGTTTATTGGGACACATTTATCATTTGACATGAATACAGGGGAGAGCACGAACGCAGTCCCCCACTACCATAAATTGTGCAGTTGAGATTCTCCATGTGGAGAATTCACAGAGGTCAGATCACCGCAGTGCAATGGCTGATCCTCACCCTGGGCGATCCGCCTACAGGATCATGGAGTCACCCCTGCCAGGTAAGTATGCCCTTTATTCCTCTGACTGACCATTAACAACCTCACACATCTGGTTCTGACTCACGGTGGGAGATTAAAATACTCCCTGAGTCACTTTACAATTTTACATTTGACGAAACTCAATCAGATAACAAATCTATGAAAATACTCAAAATAAGAAGCTTAGAAAAACTCACAAATATTGAAATTTTTAAACTTTTCAATTCTAATTTTATTAAGTTTCTAAATTAACTTTTAAATTTCAATCTCAATATTTGAGATTATTTTCCCCATTTGCTGCCTGCTACGCTACAGCTAGCATAGCCTGACATGAATGCTAGGCTACTTAGCATAGCCTGACATGAATGCTAAGCTAGTTAGCATAGCCACAAAAGCCTGTGGATACGGTTTCCCTGAAAGTTGTTTCTCTATTAGCAAAATTAGCATCGCATACGTAAGTGATTGGCAGCGCTAAAACCCTCCTGGATCTGATTGGCCGTTTTCATAGATTTCTTCAAAGGCAATAAAAACTCAGGAAAGAGGTGGATTAGTTTTTTTCATAGAATCAGGAAAATGTTATGAAAGCAGAAAATGTACGTCAGGTGATCACCACTAGCCTACAAAAATAATCAAAACTTTGACCTCAAACTAAAAATAAATCAAATGCAACATTAACTTCTAAAGTTCCAAGCTTTGGAATTATTTTTCCACCAGAGGCATCGTCAAGATCCTGAAACATCAGGAGTCTGGAAATAGTGCAACCACAGAAATAATCTGAAAATACTTTTATTTCTCTGCCTTCTGGATTTTAAGGAATATGAATTTTGAAAGAAATTTGTAAAATTCTTTTTGTTGTGGCGTTTAATTAAAGGAAGAAAAACTAAAATAATTACAGCTCATTGGGACAACATATGAGGAGCAAATATCTGCTAAAAATGAATCATCAAAGTAAAAAAAGGAAATATTTTAGCTTGAAAAGTTTATTTACTAGGGAAAAAACTCATTTTTAACTTCAGATTCAAATATTTTCAAGTTTTCATCTCAAATTTCGAACTTTTATTTTCTAGAAAATTTTTCTGATTAATCTTAAAATGAGGTTTTTGGTGGAAATCACTTCCTGCCTATGTAATGTTTCTAATACCCTGTCTCATATAAACGGTCACAGTAATTTTAACAAACGTTTCTATAAAAGTTACGTAATGAGCAAGAGTTTTACAAGAATATTGGACGGATGGTTTTCTTTGACAACAGACAGTTTGATTGTTGGATAAATGGTTTGTTGATTAGATAATTAAACAGATGGTTAGGTGCAATAATAATTTTAACAAACATTTTTTTTTATAAAAGTTATATATTATTGTTAAATAACTTACAAATTAACATCCAAAGACAGTTTAGAATTACATTTATTACATGAAGCTTTAAGCACTTTAAGCTTCATAGAACTAACCGATCTGATTAACAGTTCTTAACATGTCTGCAGCTCATAGTAATATTGGTTTATTGGGACACAGTTATCATTTGACATGAATACCAGGGGAGAGCGCGAACGCAGTCCCCCACTACCATAAATTGTGCAGTTGAGATTCTCCATGTGGAGAATTCACAGAGGTCAGATCACCGCAGTGCAATGGCTGATCCTCACCCTGGGCGATCCACCTACAGGATCATGGAGTCACCCCTGCCAGGTAAGTATGCCCTTTATTCCTCTGACTGACCATTAACAACTTCACACATCTGGTTCTGACTCACGGTGGGAGATTAAAATACTCCCTGAGTCACTTTAGAATTCTACATTTTACTATACTCAATGCGAAACTCAAAAAATAATAAAACATACGTAAGATAAACAACAATAAACCAAAATACACACGGTTTATACCTCCCATAATGCATTGCGAGGATGCTGAAGCTACACTATGCTACATAAAAAGGATCAGCCCGAATTAAACGAGGTTGACCCACTTTAATGAACTCAACATAACTTAACATAAGTAACCCGGACAAAATCATAGCAAAACATTATGACACAACACCAACAAATTTAGGCACTCACCAGAACGGACATGTCTGGAGCAAACTTGTAGATATTTTGGGATGTTAGAGAATCCGATATAGGACGTCTCGTCGCTGATGCCCAGGCCACTCGTCTCCTTTCCGTTAGCTCCGTTAGTTTAGCTCCGATAGCTTAGCCCCCTCGCATTATTTAGAGGCAGTAAAACTAAAATCTGTTTTCTATTTTTTATTTATTTATTTTTTTACCATTTCGGTCGTGTGATAGAACATCACAGCCAATAACGCTGCAAGTTCGTACCATTCCTAAATTATTTTCAGTTACTTACATTCAAAATTTTTGTGACAGTCGTTTTGTCGGTTATGTATATGGCTAGTCTAGAGCAGTGACGTCACGTTCCAAAACCCTATCCACTAAATAAAATATAGTAAATAACTCTGAACAAACCACAGATCAATAACTCCCAATCGGTAGCTAACAGCAGTTAGCAGCGGCTAACAATTGTAAAATTAAACATATCTAAAATGCGCATTAATACTGATGACAGTCAAAAACGTATCCAAAACATAGCAAACGTACTCACGAAACACCGTGTTAGATCAAATCTGTCTAAAATAAATGTTAAAATACAAAAATTGTAAAGAAAACACGAGAGTTAATCCTAATAGTACCACAGTTACTTGTCAGTTACCGGTTGCTTATTGACCAGACAAAAGAGCCTCAGGGAGAAAATAAACACATTTTGACAAACGTCACAGACACTGTACTGTCAAAATGAAATCCTGTTTCACTCACACTTGGTGTCCAACCTTTTGATTTGGCAGAAATCCTCACAGAGGCTCATTTTTCCCTTTAATTATGTGGGGCAAACTTCTCCAGCAAGCAGTCAGACACACTGACAGCAGCAGCTGATGTTTTATTCAGTCGGTTTTGTCAGCCACATTTAGATCCAGTTTGGTCTTATAACATGTAGCAAAGCTACAAGAAAGAAGGAAGTTTTAATGGCTGCTTCAGCCGCTGCAGAACGATACACACGGGAAACCTCCAAGAGGTTGAAAGGTCAACACAGGGAGATATAAGCTTAGAGTCCATTAGTGGATTATAACCATAAACACTCGGTGGCTCCTGCATCTCCCTTGGATTAAAGAGAGAGAGAGAAACACTGAGAGGCAGACAGGCTGCATGACAGGGACTGGAATCTAAAGCAAACTCCACAGCAGAGACGTGGAACGCTGAAGGAGCTGCGATCGACCAGAGCTCTGAGATCTGAGGTGATCTTCCTCACCTTGAAGCTGCGGACGGTAAGTTGGCTCAGAGATTTCATCTGGAATATCACAGGACTGACAGGTTGGGAGCAATGCAGCCGTGCAGAAGGTTCTGGGTTTGAAACCCAGCCTGCAGTTTGCATGTTCTCCCTGTGCATGCATGACTTCTCTCTGGGTACTCTGGATCCCTCACACAAACATCACTGTTAGGCTAAACTGCAGAAACACAAAATCTTACCAAGTATGTTCGGTTATAATTATAAATTATTATTTTACACTGGCAGATTATTTTGCTTATAAATATAACTTTTCCTTCAATATTAAGGAATTATTTATTTAAAACAAGATCCTGTTTCTTGCTGAAATGTTGCTTGTCTTATTTAAAGTGTACTAACTAAAAATTAGGATGAAAACACATTGTAAGGTTTAGTGTTTCTGCAGTGTAATCGGTTTTGGATGTGAGTGTGTCCATGTGTGATGAACTGCACCTGTCCACAGTGTTTAATTATTAATAAAGACTGCAAGAATACATGCATATGGGTAATGAATGGATGGAGTTTTATGTTTGCATTCATCTATTAAATCTGCGCAAACTGATCGAAAAAGCTGAAAAATTACTTATATAAATAAATATTTAAGTAGGTTTCTCGTATTTTCTCATATTTCTTGCTTTTCTAGTTCCTCGTTTGATCCAAAAAACAGGTAAAATCTACTGTTTGTTGCTTTTTGTGTCGGCGTTCTCATTTACTGTTGTGTAAGTTTAATTTAGTTATGGCTTGTGTGTGCGTGTGTGTGTGTGTGTGTATGTGTGTATGTGTGTTTGTGCAGGAAGCATGGACATGGACATTGAGGGGATTATCCAGTGCATCAAGCAGGGGGATGAGAACGGAGTTCAGATGCAGCTGCAGCAGTTCAACAAAGAGGTAACACCATCACAGAGGGCCGCAGGTTCCTCATGCATGAGTGATTTCTGATCAAAAAGCTTTTATTTTTATTGTCTGACTGTGTTGATCTGCAGTACGCCCAGTGCTTCTTCTTTGATGCAGACGAGAGGGAGAAAAGGAGGGTGAGTTCCTGCTGCGCCTGGAGAAAGTTTCAGCTCACATCCTTCAGTTAATCGCTCTCCACCTCCACGCTGTCCTCGCTCCCCCGCCTCCACCCAACAGTCTGGCTGTGATTAGTAATTCTGCTGCATCAGTCGTTCCTGATCCTCTGCCTGCTCAGGCAGATTGAGTTCAGACGCAGCGACTGCAAACCTGTCAGATTAAAAAGGGAGTTTTCAGGGGTTTCAGTGCAGGTTCAGGTCCTGAAAATAAGGAGTTTGTTTTAAGCAGAGGTGTCAAAAGTATTCACATTCTAATCATGTGTGTCAAACTCACGGCCCGTGGGCCAAATCCGTCCCGTCGTAGCTTTTTATGTGGCCCTCCGGATTCTAGATTAAACAGTAAACATTATGTAATCAATCAAATTAATGCAGTTTTTATTTGTTTGCTGCAGAATTCTATCAATAAGTCCCTCCAGGGTCTTGAGAATGATTGTGGAAATTCACACAAAAATTAAAAAAAAATCCGCACTTTTAAGCAGAGGTCGCCATTTATCACCTGTGCAATGTTTTTCTACTTTTCTTGCATCCTGCACCAGGAAGCTGTGCTGCATAGCTGACTCTCCCTTACCTATAGACCAGAAATAGAGCTCCAGTTTTAGCTTTTAGCTTTTAGTTTTTTGTTCTGTCCTTGTCTATAACTGAGCTCCAGCTAATAAAAGCTTGTTTTTGTAAATGTTAGTCCCTGGTTTCTGGCAACCACTTAGTTTTCATTTTAAAGTATAATTTAGCTTTTATAAGATATTTTAAAGAACACACTTTGCTGATATATTTTTCTCCTCCTTTTCTCTGTTGCTGCCTGTAAAACATTAATTATTTGATTCTCCAGCAAAAAAAACTTGAAGAGGTAAAGTTCTGCCAAAGTTTAATTCCTGCAGTTTACTGTTTTGTGGAGACTACAAGTTGGAAAAAACATGTTTTGTTTGTTCTTTCCACTGTTTTATCAGTTCAGAAAGAATAAAGTGAGGGACTTTGCTGATTCTGACTCCGACATTGACGACTTTGAGCAGGAAGATCGAGGCCTCGTCCTCAGACAGGTAACATCTGATGACTGCAAACACATTTATATGCAAAACACCTAAAAAATGTTTCCATTATTGTGTAAAGTGTTAAGAAATCCAAAATGTCAAGTGCAAAATAATAATAATAATAAAAAATTGTAAAAGATAAAAAAAAACATTTACTTTTTAAAATATAGATTTGTTTTTAATTTAAAAAGTATATTTTGAAATGATTTTGTATCACCCAGATGTCTGGAGCCTTTACAAACAAAAAAATTTAGAAATATTTGTAAGGAAGTTTTGTGACATTTGTGCAAATGTATGATGCTAAATGTGACTGTTTATTAATTGCTGTATTGATTACGGGCTACAACTTGACATCAAGTGAGGCTGAGGCAGCAGTCACTTAAATCCAAAGTTTTTGGCCAATTTGGAGAAAAATTTGCAGTAAAATCTGAAAAAAATAATATTTTGTTTAAATTTTGCATGAATTTTGTAGATTTGCAACAACAACAAAAAAGCCCTGGAGACTTATTGATGTAATTTGGAAAACACAGCTCAGTTTTACACTTGTGCTGTCGTGGTTTTTGTAGCAGGATGTCAGGTCTGTTCTATATTTTAATCTCTGTTCACAAATGTTTCAGACTCATGGCCACTTGTTGGTGTTTTTCTGTCTCCCTCTTCAGAATTTAGCCGCCGTCATTGTGAGGTTCATGAGGACAGGAGTGAAGCGCAGTCTGCTGAGAGTCTCTCTGCACTCACTAAGGATCCTGACCAGGGACAAAAAGATCCTGGGCCACCTGGTGACTGACAGCACTCTGCTGACTTTGGCCAAGTTGGCCGGCCTGACCACAATCGACGCCAGCGAGGAAGGCAACGACCCCGACTCTGATTTCTACGACAACATCATCGCCTCCCTCGCCGAGGCCAAACTGCTGCAGGGGTGCGCTGAAGAGGACGGCGGCGAGGGCCTGGACCCCTCTGAGGAGTTTCCTGCGGTGGACGACGAATCCAGGAGCATCACCAGCGGCGGCGACCTGGACAGCAACAGCTGGTTCGGCAGCCACAGGACCAGCATCAATGAAATGCACAGAGGGAGCATCCATCAGAAGGCGCTGGAGCGGGGAAGGAGAGACCGCAGAGAGAGCAAGATGGAGGAGGAAGCAGCGGTGGAGGAGGAGGAGCATGGGGAGGAGGTGCTGAGGAAAGAGGCCATGAAGGTTCTGTGCAATGTGGTGTACAACAGCACATGGGCTCAGGAGAGGTTCAGCGCGCTCAGGTGGGTCCAACGCTAACTTTACGAAAGGTTGAGAACAAAAACGAAAGTTATTTACATACAGCCACCATCTCAAAAACAAGATGAAAGGTTTCATAACAATTCATTAATTCATCATGCACTCTGGGCGAATGTCTGCTAATGCGCTAATAATAGAGCTAATGTTTCATTTAATGCATTAGAATTTTTGCTGACATTTAGCGCACTTACTTTAAAGTCTAAACTTTCATCTATGTTTAGGTTTTGGTCATCAGCTGTTAGGAATTCTTTAAGTATGCTTTTATTTTGAAGAGGGTGATGATCTTCCTCTTACGTGTTTTATTAAACTTTACTGAGCTAGTGTACAAGAGAAAATCAAAACATACCAAATAAAAAACAACCAGGGCTGTTCATTTAACAATGACATTTACCCAGAATGCATCGCTGTAGGAGCGTAAACAGTTTCAAATCTACAGAGATGTAAATCAACTTTCTCCCGTTTATGGTTTCAGGCTGCTGAGCGGCCTCATTGAGTGTCTTTCCTCCAGTGTAAGCTGGTCGTCTCCCTCCAGTGTCCAGTTTTACGAGCTTCGCCTCATGTTCCTCATCACCGCCCTGAGACCCGAACTCAGCACTCAGCTCAAACAGGTACATCTGTTTATGGAAAAGCCCCGAACAAGGGGAATATTTCAAACACGACCCGTCTGTGTGTTAGCTAACTACTCAGTCAGCTTACAAACATAAGCATACCAAACTTGAAACAATGGGCTCTTTGCACCTGCCGCGTTGACGTCACAACCACATGTTGTGCTTCGTCAAGAAAAATCCTTGAACCGTAATCTCCTCCATTAGTTGGTCTCTGACACTAATGACAATAAACGCTTGAAATATACTTGAAAATAAGGTAAAAACATTGTCCGTTAGAATGGATGAAAAAGGTTTAGATACTTAAATAGCAATATTGCCTACTAGCATAAGCTAAAGCTAATATTAGCCATAAAGTTTAAAGAAAGTAAAACTCACCTTGGTATCTGTGAATGTATAACGAGGCGAACATCTTAAAACCTTTCTTTCTCCAGCTTCCTGTTAGGGCTTCGGATCAATGTTCAACATTAATTGTTAGATTGCAAATCCCCAGTGTAAAGGGCCATTTTCAATAGACCGGAAACGATCGAGCCGCTTTTCGCCGAACGCGGAAGCTGAGGTGCGAGGAGCCCAAAGCGTTGCAGCTACAACGGAGTGTGTGGCGCCAGACTCCCCCTGCTGGTTGCATCCCACCACTACATCAGCGAAATCAGATTGGACATTAATGTGAATTTATCCTATAATACTGGCTGCAAATGTAAATAAGACTAAACCCTTTCATAAGTATAATATGGAGATAAGACAAAAAAAAGAGTAAATGTACCTCTGAATGGTAAATTTACTCTGAGAGACATTTAGGTTTAGTTAACCATCTCCAGGGTTCCTCTCTCTCTCTCTCTGACTCTCGCTCTCTATCCATGTTTTCCTCCAACAGGAGGGAGGCGTCCCCATCCTCACAGCAGCCCTGGAGAGCTGCCTGGAGGTCCAGTGGAAGGAGCAGTATGAGTGTGTGCTGGAGCCCGCAGCACCACCCATCTCTCTGGAGGCCTCGCAGCGCATTGTGGAGATCCTCAAAATCCTCTTCAACATCACCCACAGCACCCACAAGCAGGAGCCAAGCGAGGTCAGACATCCATCTATCTATCTATCTATCTATCTATCTATCTATCTATCTATCTATCTATCTATCTATCTATCTATCTATCTATCTATCTATCTATCTATCTATCTATCTATCTATCTATCTATCTATCTATCTATCTATCTATCTATCTATCTATCTATCTATCTATCTATCTATCTATCTATCTATCTATCTATCTATCTATCTATCTATCTATCTATCTATCTATCTATCTATCTATCTATCTATATATTGTGATTCTATAAATATGTATCTATGGTCAGATTTTTGTTCTGTTTTGACGGTTTGCTTTTAATCATATTGGGACTTTTTGCCTGTCAGCTGCAACTTGCAGGTAAAAGTTTGTTTCCAGAGACAGAAATAAGTTGCTCGGTTGTCCGTGCAGGAAGACGCGGCTCTTTACCGACACCTAGTGGCCATCCTGCGTCTCTGCTTGATGAGGAAGTGTCTGCTGCCTGAGGAGACCGACGAGCTGCAGGGGTGAGGAGAAATGTTCTTCCCAGCTGCTCCCCAAATAAATAAACGAACAAATAAATAAAATAGGTCGGATGCTTTTATGTGCATGAACAAGTTTGATGAGAGACATTTTTATCCCAATAATCTGACAAATGTTTTCTAATTACTAATTATAAGGGATAGCACATTTATTATTAAAAACAGAATATACTTGAAATGGACACACAATGTTTTTCAAAGCACTTTGAAATGCCTTGCTGCTGAAATATGCTATACAAATAAAATTAGATTTGATTTGATTTAATTTAATTTCCACCTAATGACAAAAAAAATGACCTACAAATTTCGCTCGTTGTTTTAGAGTTATTGTTTTGTAGATATTTAGTGCCATCATGTTTTTTTATTCCATCTAAAATACTGTTAAAACCTCCATTTGTTAATATATCTTTATTTACAGCTATTAAGATCTGATAATAAGAGACAAAGAAAGCCACATCGTCATTTTGCTTCACTTTCCATTGTTTTGTTTTTTTTAAATTATAAATTGACAAAATTAGCCAAAGTTGAAATGTTGTGAAGGGTTTAAAGTGAGAGATGAATCTCACTTTTCTGTCAGTTTATTCAAAAACGGATCAACAAAAAGAAACTCCAGGGTTTAATAAGCCTGGTGCATCTCTTTGCTGTTGCAGCCACACGGTGAACCTGCTGACGGCGCTTCCTCTGCAGTGCCTCAACGTGCTGCTCACGGTGCCTCTGGAGCCCGAATCCAAGCAGAGCCTGGGGGTCAACATGGACTGCGTCCACACGCTGCTGGCCTTCATGGAGAGGCGCCTGGAGGCGGTGAGGGGAGGAAGCGTTCGTGGTTCAACGTTGGTTTTCTTGCTTGTGAGCATGTTTGTTTCTGTTCTCGTCAGGGAGATCGAGTCAAAGAGAAACTGACGCCGATCCTCAACCTGCTGACGGAGAGCTGCAGGGCGCACAGAGAGACGCGCCTGTACATCAGGAAACATGTAACTTCACATGAAAACGATCTCACATTAACATGCTAGTGGAATCCCACACTGCAAAAACACAAAATCTCACCAAGTCATTTTGGTTTAGTTTGTACAGTAAATATCTTAGCACAGTTGGAATAAGAGAAACTAATTAAAAGTTACTTTCCAGCAATATGTGCTTGTTTTAAGTAAATCCTTAATATTAATGAAAAATTCTATTGACAGAGAAATTGACTTGACATGGGAAAAATCTGTTAGTTAAATAATCTGCTAATGAGAACTTTTTCATTAATATTAAAGAATTATTTACTTAAAGCAAGCCTCTGGCTCTTACTAAAAATTTACTTTTAAGTTAGTTTTGTCTGAATTAAATGTACTAAAATATTTTCACTAGAAACTAAACTCTGGTAAGATTTTGTGTTTTTGCAGTGCAGAAATTGGGATAAACAATATTAATATTGTCATTCTGAGACCTTTTCCAGCTAATACAATAATAATAATGGCATATTAATGCAAGTACAACCTCCAAAATATCAGAAAAACTTCAGTTTCTAAAGAACAGTTAAAACTGGAAAATATTTTAAAAGGCAAATATAAATAAATAAAACAACTATAACAGCAATAATTATAATGGATTATGAAGAAAACATGTAAAAGTGCCTGTTAGGACTTTTTTAAAGAAAAAAAACTTGCTACTTTGTACTGTTTGTTTTATAATAATCTATATTATTATAAAGTGCTTTTCTTTCACCTTTGATTGAGGAAAAACTGCAAAAATAAGAGTTTCCTGTCCCGTCTGTCAATCCCGTTTGTTTCCACTGTAAAGTTGAGATTCACTGATTCTGGTCTGTATTTGAACTTTTCTGTGTTTTCGTGTCGTTAGATCCTTCCTCCTCTGAGGGACGTGTCGCACCGACCGGAGGAAGGAGACACTGTAAAGAGTCGCCTGGTTCGTCTCATGACTCACCTGGACACCGACCTGAAACACTGCGCCGCCGACCTCCTGTTTGTCCTCTGCAAGGAGAACGGTAAGCCTCCATTTGGATCTGAAAAATAACAAAATAACAGAACAGTTTTTAGGGAATCTGCCGCCCCTCTTTGGTTTCCAGTGCGGCGTTTTGTGAAGTACACCGGCTACGGTAACGCGGCGGGCCTCCTGGCCACCAGGGGGCTGCTGGGCGGCCAGAGGGCCGTCTCCGACGCCAAGTACTCCAGCGACTCGGACTCGGACACCGAGGAGTACCGGGAGATGAAGGACCGCATCAACCTGGTGACGGGGCGGGTGGAGGCGGAGCAGTCAAACCCGATGGAGGGCATGACGGAGGAGGAGAAGGAGGAGGAGGCCAAGCGGCTGATCATGCTCTTCAACAAGTTGTCCAAGTAGGAAAAACAACTTTAACATCACAGACAGAACTTTTCTGTCGTTAGGTTGCAAATTACCGACTTTATCTCTTTATTTTCCTTAAATGGCAACTCAAGAAAGCATATTTATTCTCTTGCTCGTTATTGTAAAATCTAAAACCAGACATTTATATTGTATTTTGTTGGTCAATGACGCTTTATAAGGCTTGGTGAATTTAATTGATCACAAGCTCTCAGGGTCCTGAATGAAAACAAAGCATAACTGCCATTTCCTCTAAATAATTCATTTATCCGCGTGTTGATCTGTTGTTTGCAGAGAAAACATCATCCAGCCGATGGGAGTGGACGAAGAGGGGAAGCTGGTCCCCATGACGGGTCTGGAGGAAGCAAAGTCCGAGTCGGAAAACGAGGCAGAATCAGACAAAGACGACTGAAACACAACAACCTCATTAATCCACTTTATTGAATCGGGTTTGTAAACATGTCGTTACGTCAGCTTGGTCGGTACAGGAATGGGATGCTCTGACTGGAACAAGAGGACGAAATTGTTTGTCAGTGACGGATGGATAAAAAGAAATTTAAAAAACCAAGATGTACAGCAGCTTTCACATTGATTTCATTCTTATTTGTGTTGTAGTTCCAGAGAAGGAATCAGTTTCGTTATGATTATGACGTCAGCGTTTTGATTGCAGTTTGTTTTCTGTGTATTAAAAAATGGCCCTTTCTAAAGTTGTCCACTTTTTCTTGATCAGCCAAGATTACAAACATGAGATGAGGTTAACAGGCTGCAGAAATTATTCTATGTAACTGGACATCATGAAGCACAGATGCAGGTTTTGTATACACATTTTTTATTTATTTATTTTGTATTTTGTAGCAAATAAGATCATAATCAGGACAATATAATCACCTCATTGCAAGAAATGATTTTAAAGATGCCATATTTTTAAGGAACTCAAATAAATCTTATAAATTATACACTTTGTGCACCAAAATAAAGATAAAGGAGAAAAACAAACATATTTATAGCCTTGTGTATGTCTTTGTGCCATCTCAGCTAATGCAGTGGGACAATGTGGTGATTATTTCTGCAGGATTTGTTTGGTGTCGAATGAAAACATAATAAACTGAGATGAAAGAGGGAAAAAAAACTCATCAGTAAAGATCCATCATTTCCTCCAGTGACATCTGCAGTTCCACAGACCGCAGCGAGGAGGCGCCACACTCAACAGCTAGGTTCTTCAGAAGCTCCATAGAAGTGGGAACCACCTGAGAGAAGAAAAGGCACGAGTCAAACTCACATAATGAGAGGATTCGCTGCGAGTCATTGAAAGTAAACGCGTTTCTTCACCTCCACCATGATGAGTTTTTTCTCCCAAGGCCTGTTTTCCGGGTCAGGCCACTTTTCCCCGAGACAGAAGAACATGGAGGACGGTGGGGATTCCTTCCCGTCAAAAAACTCCATTAATCCTACAGGAAATAACATGTAAGCTGCTGCACAACTCGTCACAGACAGGCTCCCGTAAAGGCAGATGTTTCCATACGCACCTCGGATGAAGTCCTTCACCGGGTAAAGACGTTCAGGATTCAGTTTAGAAATCTCCCTCGGCTGTCTGCTGCTGTCAAACTTGGAGAAGCTCCAGAAGGCTTTGACCTCGCCGTGCCGCTGGCCGTAGATCACGTGCTGCGACATGCCCACTTCCAGGCTCCCCAGGTTGTCCAGGATCCTTTGGGTCAGGCAGGTTTGGGTTTGATCCAGGATGCCGACCGGACGCGGCAGAGAGACGATGGAGAGGCCCGTCTCGTGATCCAAAACCGCATCGTTTAGATCGGGCCTGACATGAAGACGAGATGGAAGAAGAAGAGTGAGGCAAAGAGCTTTAAAGGTGATCAGTGGGTGATGCAAAAATCATTCTTAGATGATGAGATTTCAGTCTGATCAGTTCTGCCTTTTGTGTTGTTTTAGGGCGTCTTGTCACTTTAAATACGAATAAGTTGCTGCTGGCCCGAAGTCAACGTTTACAGTCACAAGTGAAAACAGCTGCAATCAGATGATACTACCGTATAGCTTTGAAAAGCTTCAGTTGAGCCTCCTGCTCAATCAGCAAGTGGTTTCTGGATGCTAAACACTTGTCTTTTCCAGCAGCTGTCTTAAAAAATACAGTGATAAAACAAGCAGACCAAACATAATGGAGCTCCAATTTGCTTGTTGGACGACGGGAAGTGCCTGACGACCTTTGATCTTCTGAGATCAAAGGTCAGAATTCTGAGAAAACTCAAAAACTCTGGGAAAAGTGTCAGAATTCTGACTTTTATAAATGACGGGTTATTTCTGAGCGGATGTCGGGTTTGGAGCGTCAAGGTTTGAGTGAAATTTCCTGAGCTTCTTGGTGTTGGAACATCGAATGACCGAAACGTTTAAAGGTTTGTAAGCTGCTGCACAGTCATTGCTTGTTACCTGTACACTAAGCGGAGTCCGGCCTCGTTGGGAACCTTCTGCTCAGACACCTTCACCCCTCTGTAGAACACAGCCACCCTGAAATGAGTCTCTGGAAATGCACAAAAATAAACAACTAAATTAGTCAATTAGAACTTTTTCTTTCATCTAAATCCAAATAAATAACCAAACATAGTTAGGATTATCTCAGTTATGTTGCTAGTACATAAAAACAATTACTAAACTGTTTAATACTTTCCATTTTTGTCACATATCGTACCATGTTTCTTACACTCTGATGTAAAATTAATCAATATATATACAGATATATGTGCAGTTTGAATATTAAGATGTTTGCGCAGAATCAAGTACTTTAAAACCTAATTGAAATCAAACCATTTCTAAGGATTTCTGCTGTCAGAAACAGGAAACTGAATTTCCCCAGAAACCTCCGTGTATGTAAACTTCTGATCTCTGTTTTTTTTTTTTCTATTTCCTGTGAGAGCGAGTGACTCACTGAAATGATCTCCATCTCTGGTCTGGTTCACCGTTTCTAGGAACTGCGCTGCCTGCTGCCCGTCGCCGTAGCCCGCCCCCTCCGCCGCCGCCCCCCCCGCTGGACCTGCCGGTTGCTCTGGCAACCCCGCTTCACGGGCTGCACCCTCAAACATCACTGGATCCTGCTGTTGCCCGGGCAACGGGAGCGCACCAATCAGGAGCTGATTCTGCAGCTGCTGTTGCTCAGTAGGAGGCTGAAAGCCTGTGGTGCCCTCTGTGGAAAAGTTGGGAGAAAATGGGAAAGTGGGTTTTCTTTTTTTTTGAGGGGAAAGTACCACCGGTTTGCTTTCTGCTGCAGAGTCGAGGAGCCAACCTGCTCCAGGGCCGATATTCAGGCCTCTCAGGCACTCCTGGAGGATATCCTGGCCGTCGGGGCGTTCTGCCGACGGAGATTAATGTGCTTTAATAAAACCAGACAGTGATCGGTGAATCAGAATAAAAGCTCCTTGTTCACCTGGCATCAGAATGTCCTCTGGATTAAAAACAGGTCCGTCAAAGAATGGCACGACCCCACTCTAAAAATCACAGAATTACCTCAATAAATTCAGTCATTTTGCAGCAGCTAGTCATTAATTTATGCATCACAAAAAACTAGGAAATCCACATATAAATGCTCACTTAATTATTTAAGGTTTTGTATGCAATAATTTAAAATTTATGTACAAAGAGAATTTTAGCAAAAAATATTAAAAACAGTTGTGGAAAAAGAAAACGCAAATATAACTTGAAATAAAATGACATTTTCAAGTTCAGAAAGGCATTTCAGTTAAAGTGAGATCAAATCTAAATATATTAGAAAGTTATTACAATGATAATATGGAACTAAATGTTTTGTTGTGTAACGTTTGTATATTTGGAAAATCTTCCGATCTCAAAAGCTAATTTTATTTTATATGAATGGAGTTTACGCTTCTTTTATTAACGATTTATTTTAGTTGTTAGATAAACTGCTCATATTTATTATTAAGTGAATTAAATAAAATAAAATGAATGGAATTAAATGAACATCTTTTGATAGTTTTATGTCTGATTGTGTATTTATTTTATTCTTTATGTTGTCTTATAACTATAACTATTAAAACAACATGATTTACCCCCTGCGGATTATAGCCGTTCAGAACATTGGCGTCTTCTTGCTCCTGGGATCCAGAGGAAGATCGGGCTTTTGATGGTAGATAAAAATAAACAGATTGTTACAGTTTTAAGTTTTATAATCACCAGAACGATTTGGATTTTGACCCCTCACCTCCTGACGCCGACTCCTCCGGCCAGCGGTAGACCTTGTGTGGGTTGGCGGCGTCGTTCTTGTTGTCGGACACCATTTTGAAGCCCTTCGCTCTCAGGGCGCTGCGGAAGTTCCTCTTCCAGACCGAGGCGTCTCCCTGAGCCCGGCCGCTCCCGCTCGCCTCCGCCCAGGCCTGCAGGGGGAGCAACGCGCCTTCAGCCCTCTGATGTAGATATTTTTACATCTTGTCACATAATATGCTGTCATTTGTCTGCTCCGTTGAAGGACGATTGGCTTTGAGATGGATCGAAGGATGAGCCAGAAAAAGGACTATAAAACATTAACTGAATAAACTCAGTTAATGTTAGTGTAAACCAACATGCTAATGATAACATTTCAGCTAATATTTTACTTAAAAGCTAAAGTTAACTTACTGAATGGACTGAGTTAAGGACAGCTAACATTAAATCAGTCCAATGTTATGTAGGCCTATAAGTCTAAATAACAATGGTAGCATTACGCTAGCCTTAGCCTTTAAGTTTATTTGGATTTATTTTGACTTATGTTTACAGTAAATTAGGCTTGGTACTATATAAAACGTGCCTAAGTTATTATTTAATTAAATAACTCTCTGAATAGATTCAGCTAATGTTACTCAATATGTAACAAACGTGATAATGTTAGCATTTAAGCTAATTGTTGACTTAAAAGCTAATGTTAACTTACTGAATGGACTGAGCTAATGATGGCTAACATTAAATCAGTTCTATTACATAGACCTATGACAGCATTAAGCTAACTTTAGCCTTTTAGCTTATTTTGACTTGTGTTTTACAGTAAATTAGGTTTAGTACTATATAAAACATGCCTAAATTATTACTTTACATTTAATTCAATAACTCCTTCATAGATTAAGTTAGTGTTACTCAATGTTAGTGCAAACCAACATGACAGCATTTAAGCTAACACCAGCATTTAATCTATTTTGTTACTTAAAACCAGAGGTTAACTTTCTGATATAACTAACCTGCTATTACAACCATTAATATGTTTATAAGCCTACATATTAATGGTAGCATTTAGGTTAACATTATTATTTTAACTCATTTTGACTTCTCTACTTCATATTTGTATTTTAAAATGAAGTTTAAATATAACTGCCTAATAAATGCCACTGCCATGAACGAATTGATATTCTGCATAAAATGGATAACATTTATTGTGATTTTTTACTCACTGAATCTGTGAATTTCTGACAGAAATGTATTATATTATGCCTCTTTTTATGAATTTTTTGCCGTGTTTTACTCCAACAAATTCAGAAAATCATCCCACAGCATGATGCAGCCACCACTGTGCTTTACAGTGGAGATGATATTAAAAAATAAGTTTTATAGATTAAATCACACACAATTATTCTCTGTTTTCTAATTAGGTGACTGCTGAAGAAAACTGTTTGTACCGGTAAAGGTCGTACGGTCTGCAGAGGGAGAAATTAACTTGTTTCTTTATGACCTTAAAGATGAGAACGTCCTCATTGGAGGAGTCCTGTCTCAGCGCGTGTTTCCATGGGATGCAGAACTCGGTTTGCTCAGGGTTGGTCCAATGGACACCCGGATACCTCTCACTGTCGATGCTGGACTTGAGCCACGGGATCAGCAGGGGCTTTGAGTGAGCCATTTCTACAAAACCAAAAGAAACAGACGCTGTTAACGCCAGGCAGCTCTCCAGAATTTGAAATCAAACTTCTATAAAACACATATCTACTTCTAGATCTAAGTCATCCCGATTTTTTCTTATCTGAATCGCACACAGACTGGAAGTTTACAGGGAATTTATCCAATTTATCAATTTAACCGTCAACCAGTGGTGGGCATTTGTTTGTCATCTGATGACAGGAAAGCATGGCTTGGTAGAAACGCATTCAAAGTCTGAAAGTTGTTTAGTAGTTCCTGAGATTTATTTACTTCAATAATCATCTTCCTCCTCTTCCTTATTACCTGCGGCAAAGTGGAAAATCTTTCTTTTTGTTCCTAATTTCTGAATTTTCCTTATCAATAAACATCTTTTTTCATTTGAAAGCATGACTTCTTGTATTTCCTATTTTATAGAATATCAGAAGGAGATGGGTCTCTGTCTAATATCTAAATAGCAAATACTGTTTCACTAAATAAAAGTTAAATATACATTGAAAAATAGTCAAATCCGATTATCTTTCTGCAGGTTGTCTGTGTTTTTCTACAAATTAGGAGAATTTGTTGTTATTATCTCATTGACAGAGTGAGATGCATTTTATATCAGGAAAAAAAACAACAATAGATGAGAAAACTCGATAGTTTTCTCAATAGAAAAAACTATTGAGAATATCAAACATTTGATATTGAGTGTTTTGTTTGATGCAAAAAAATTACAACCACTAACAGTTCCTGTTTCATTTCTGCTAACAAACTTCAAAATCTCGATTGTGTTTCACAAGAATAACAGAAAACAGAAACTAACACTAAATTACAGCAAAACAAAGAGAAGCAGCTCAAATATCACCTGGACTGGTTTTAAATAAACATAGAGCTCTGGAAAGAATGAAGAGCCCATTGAAAACCTGCTGGTTATTGCACCAAATACTGATTTCTGAGTAAAAACATTAGTATTGTTGTTTCTAAATTAATATGAATGTGTTTTCTTTGCTTTATTTTGACTTGTTTCTCAATTTCTGTAGATAAATGTAACATTTTTGTGAATATGTTGTGAGTCGTTCATAGAATAAAAGAACATTTTTACTCAAACATAAAACTGTAAACAGTAAAATCAGAGAACTGATTATTTTAATTGGTTTCTTAATATTTTCCGGAACTGCATATTCTAACAATAAAAGGTAACAGATTTATTTTTACTTTTCCTGGATGGCAGCTCTATGATTCTGTGATAATAATATATGGAAAATTATTCATTTAACATATTAGAGATCATGCAAGCATTTATTTCATGAAACATTTTAATCCTGTATTTGGACTTGGTTAATTAAAGGTTATAATAAGTTACAAATGAAGAAGAAGCCAGATTAAATCCTTCGTTAAAGATAAAAGTCTCAAAAGTGAATCCATGTAACAGCTTTTTCCCCCCATTTATCTAAAATATCAGAAATTGAGTTGAGAAATTTGGCAAATATTACAACTGAGAAACAGGAAACAGCCTGAAAACAGAGGAAGCGTAATAGTTGCATCCCATATTATGATAATAAATAAAACTGAAAGACAATTAAAATACTTAAAATAGTGAAAAATCCAAAATAATATGAATGCATTCTGATGAGGTTTAGCAGAAAGTGATAATTTTTCATTAAGCCTCACTTTTATATTAAAATGTTCTTTGTTGTAATGTAATATTCTAATGTTAAATGCTCAAATTGCACCAACATTAACAGAAATAAATGCTTGAAAACGTCACTGTGTTTGTATTTCATCTAAACTTTGCAGAGTTACTGACACGCGTTAGCTTTCCAGCAATATTCAGGTTTTTTCACTGTAAAGTGTGTTTACCGCCTCTGTCCTTAACAAAAATAGCAGAATAATTGATCCCCTCGTTACCTGTTCATGCGGGTTCGGTTCGTCCGGCTCGGTCCACTGGTCGCTTTCGGAGGCAGAAGAGAGATGAACCGGCTCAGAGGTGGACCAGCTGTTCGCCTGAGTCCCGACTTTCGGAGCTTCTCAATTCTCGGGAAACTCCGACGGTTTGTTTCGTTTTCCTGATGTGACGTCACCACGTCGGGCGGTCCCGCAAGGCGTGCCCACAAAAACACTCACGAGACGTGCGCCAAGGTTATGTCACTTTGAAATATGAAGCTTTAAAACCATTAAAGTCATTTAATTGTCTAAAGATGTTATTTCTCAAGAATATATATCACTTCCCCGCAAGTTTAGATCTCGAGTGGATTCATAAAAATTAGTTTTATGTTTAAATGTAGCTGTAAAAACACTTAGTTAGTTAGCTCATTGTTTCAATAAATGAAGTGTCCAAATTTATTCTGCAAAATTTCAGTGGACTTGAGATTATCTGGCCCACCTTGCTTTCAAGTTTTCAATTTCTGAAAAAAAATTTTTTTAATCTGAAAAGTGTGGTGTGCATTTGTTTTTGACCATCCTGAATTCTGGCAAATTCTTCGCAAATCAGCTCAAGCTGTCAGATTTGATGGGCAGAGCAGTTGTGATTTAATATATTCTCAATTTGTTTCAAGTCTGTACTTTGACTACGTCATTCTAGCACATGCATGTCCTTTCATTTGATCCATGGCTCTTTGTTCAGGGCAGAAATCAACCATTTTCCAGCCTTGAACAAGTTCTCTTCCAGGACTTATCTCCCTCTTTAGCCATTTTCTTACTGCTACAGAAAGGCAATAACGCAGCAGGATGCAGCCATCTTTGATTCTTTAATTGGAAAGAATTTAGAAATAATTTATCTCTCCCTCACAAAGGAATGTGACGATATGGCAAACACCCCCACCCCGAGTCTCGACATGTAGCTGAAGGAAATGAAACCATTTGTTCTTTGTAGATTTTATTTGTTTTTCAAATACAGGAGAGTTAATGTACAGAAGGACAAAGAGTTTCATCAAGAACTGTACAGTATTTACACATCTTTTTTTTTCCTTTTTTATGGAAAATCAGATTGTTTTCAAAATAAGTCATAGTATGCACAGACATCAAAATGATAAAAATGAAATGACTATTTCCTCTTTAAATATTACTTATTTATACTCCTTCTTCCCACACGGGAGAGGGATATTTCTTTTCTTTGCACCTGCATGACTGATGATTGAACTGAAGCACAACAATGTTAAGTTTCAAATAAATGTTACCATTCTTTTTTCTTTTTTTTCCTCATTTTTTAAAATTTTACACCCACTGTATTTGATACAATAGTTCTGTCTCGACGCCTGTTCTTCTGTATAGAGGGGAAGACGACTCGGATATGTGGGTTATGATTGTATACTGATCCCGTGGAAAATAAAAAGCTATTTAAAACGTCTGGGGCAGCAAACCAGCGCGTGTGAGAGTTTTTAAGTTAAAAACCTCCTCATATAAATAATAAAAATGCGTTCATATATTACACACGGCCGACTGGTGCTGCCCGTCCACGTAACGCATGACGACCGGAGAGCGCCCCCTAACTTCTCACGCTGCTATTCGCGATCGCGCTGCTCAAAAAGCACAAAGCACTCCCGCCGCCTTCCTCTCTTCTCAAAAGCCGACAGCTGATGTTAGTCTTTTCAAAAAATAATTTATGTAAAAACTAAGCGGTAATAGTTTCTCTTTGAACTATTGTCTTTTTATGACACACAGTTAACAAGACGTCAGTGACTCTCCTCCGTCGACTTGGTTTTCCGGCTCCTCCTTGTTTCTCTCTCCGTCTTTTTTTTTCCTTTTCTTTTTTTGTTTTGTTTTGAACAACGATCCGGTTCCCCCTCTCCTTTCATCCAGAAGGGTCCCACTCTCACAAAGTAAGACATTTCTTTAGTGATTGGTCAACAACAAGACAAAATGAAAACAGGCCAGCGTCCGAGGTCGGGTCAACAGGCGCTCTCGTGTTCGTCGAAGGCCTGGAAAACTTCCTGCTCGGATCTGAAAAGATTTTCGAAGAGGGTGTGGGGGCTGTACAGCGGGATTCGTCTGGGCTTTTCCTCCAGATTTTATTTATTTACCATTTCTTTTTTTTTCTTTCTTTTTTTTTTAAAGTTTAGCTCTGTGTGTGTCTCCTGGTGAGGCGAACTCAGGCTTTGGTGCTGAGTGTGAGCAGCTCGATGAAGGAGCTGAAGAGGGTGTCCAGCCAGCTCTGGTTGGCCATGCACTGCTGCACCACTTCCTCTTGGCCCGGATCCTCGGCCGCCTGCTCGATGGTGTTGGTCTGCGAACGCAAACACGGGCAGCTCTGAGCCAAACGCAACGCTTTCAGCACGCCAAAAACACAGAGATCCTGAAAAATGATTGGACGAAGAACTGACCTCTTTCTTGCACTGCAGGAAGGTGTGGTACTTATAGTGATGCAGGGAGTGGTACAGACTGTATATCCGGTACGTCTCAGACGACAACTTAAGGTCCTGAAGGAAGAAACGAGTCAGGAGAATGAAAAATTCAAAATTTAATTTGATTTAATGGGATTTTTGTAACATTTTTGCATATTTTTTTCCTTTGAGATAACCTGAGTCCTTCTGTAAATTTCCAAATTGATTTATGCATGAGCTTTGACTAGGCCATTCCAACACTCTAATATGATTTGATCCAAATTATTTAATGGAATCTTTGACTGAATGTTTGGAATAAATCAATTAATTGCATGACAAATCAAAACGAGCCCAAAAAACACAAAACAATTTTGCCCAATTATCATCACCTGAGCCTAATTATTAATAATTTTGGTTGCATTTGGTTTTATTTATTTAGATGTTCCAGCGCCAGAGTTTAGAAATGATTGATTGTTGAGGAAATGCTTGCATTATTATGTCATCATCATTATATTACACAAAAATACTAAAAGACGACAATATTATAGTTTATCGCAATAATTTCTAGGATAATTTATCGTCCAATAAAGCTGAGATTTTATTTTTGTCCTGAAATATCCTCACCATGTCACACAGAGGAAGTGTCAGTTTTCAGCCTTTTAAAGCACTTTTTCAGATTTTAACCAGTGAAAATATGTCAAAATCAAGAGTTTTTCTCATCACTTAAACAGTTACTAATCAAACCTCAATAAAATAGGAGCGCAATACAATTTTTTCTTAAAATTTACAAAAGAATTGTCTAAAATAACATAAAAACACAGAAGTGTATGATGGCTGTGCTCCCACTAAACGTTTCTAAATTTCACACATTTTTGCCGTAATTTGACTCTGTCAGTCTGAATTGTTTCGGGTGACAAAAGAGAAAACGTGAAGCTGTTCTGCAAACTTGCAGCAGGTGTTACTCTCCATTTAGTGCAAAGGTTAAATCTGTCAAACCAAAGTTTCAGTGTCTATACATAAACACACACAGACTTGTTCCTGTTGAGCTACATCAATCATAAGAGTTATTTTTATTTAAATTTAATGTTTTTTCTCATTTTAAAAAAATCAGAAACACCAGTTTTTACTTATATCTCTGCAAATATTCATCAAATACTTCAAACAATTATATATTTCTATATAGTAGTTGTTTTTGCAGGTCCATGAAGAGAGTTTTCACTAAAATGAAGACATTTTTAGAATATATGTTAAAGATTGGACGAAAACTAGACTTTATATGAGTATTTTATGTTTAATTTTATGTCTGGTAAGTGAAATAATCCGAGTCCTGTGACGCTACCTGTGGTTTAGGCAGGGTTTTCTTGACTCTGTTGAGGGTCTTTCGGTTGTAGGCGTCGCCGGTCAGCCGCACCCTGACCACTACGGTGTCCAGAGAGTCCGTCATCATTTGGGGGTAAGCATGCAGAACATCCTGACAAACAAAAACAGGAACAAAGTTGCAGTTTATTTCATGGTTTTAGTTTTAGCTACCAAGTCCGAAACATTAAACAATGGAAGGACTAACTAGATTTTTTTCAAAGTTATTTAGTATTTTCTAATGGTCAACTTTATTAGCAGACATGATGATTAAAAAAAACAAAGATTGTGTTTTCAGCAACTTTTATAAAGAGAAAACCTCAATTTGATGCAAATAAAATTCATTTTGAAATAAATTACTGCATCAAATAAAAGTTGGATCAGATTTAAATTCACAGATGTAATGAATTAGCTGCAGTGTACATAATAATAATAAGATGTATGTAGATAATAATGTAAATGTTTCCCACAGTGAAATTTAAGAGCTTTTCAAGCATTTTTGGGTTTTCAAACTTTGTCCGCACCACTGAAAAAAAAAAACTATCCAAATTAACAAAAGAAAACAATTTTAATTCAATACTATATGATGTTATTTATTACTTTTATTAGTAATATAATGTGATAGTTTTCTGCAGTAGAAAAAGGGTAAACTAAAATGTGACAAATTTTTATGCTTTGAAAAGTGTCACACACAACCGGACTGGTCTGAAAAAGTTGCAAAATATAAAAAAAAATGTTTAGAAATAATTTCTGTTACTAACTGAACAAAAACAAGAGAAGTTTTAACTTCAGATGGCGAGAAAAAAATGCGCCTGCATCTTTTTGTTATTCTTAAATACCTGGTTTCAGATAGAAATGATATCTTCTAAATTTAGGCTTTTAATCTAATTCTAAATTCCACTTTTGGAATTTCAGTAGTTTATTTAAACACCGACCAATTTCAAGGGCTTTACACATAAATCAAGGTACATCCGAACCTTAAAAACACACCAGCATTTTCCAGGATTCAAGTCAAGAAAAGGCTGAAAAGCTGAAAGCTGTCAGGCAGGACGGATTACCTGGTGTTGGGAACTCATGCTGACTTTCCTCAACAACCTCCGCTTCTGTTCGCTCAGGATGCTGTCGATCTTCCTCATCGGGGGCAGGTACAGCTCGTCTGCCGGCCAATCAGGAAGAGGAGGGTTTTCATTACTCGTTATTCATGCAGACGCCAGTCATTTTAATATCAAGGGCCAAACGTAAAGCAGCTCGTTCTGGGTGTGGAGCTTCATTTCCAGTCTGTCACACCTTGTTTATTTAAGCTTGAGGGACTCATTAAAGGGCAGGTATGAATATGCAAACTCAACAGTCAACTAATCCTCTTCTGCTTTGAAGTAAGTTTGCTCAGCTGGCCGA